ACGACGCACGCTGAGCCGGTGACTGCGCCTCGTTTGGAGGAGGCGCCCCTCCACCCTGCGGTTGAGGCCATAAAACCGGTTTCGGAGGAGAAGCCAGCAGTTCCCATCACTAATGCCTTGGATCCACCGGCGGCCGAAGCGCCGGTGTTCAGCGAGAAGGAAAAGCTGAGTACGGTGATTGCTCCCAAAGCTACTTCGGTTATAAGCCGGATGCCCCACAGCGTGGATCTGGAGGATGCTCCGAGGATCACCTTGGTGAAGCAAGCTCCCCAAACCCAGACGTGTCTCGTCAACGCCCCCTCACCTAAATTCAAGCAGAGGTCAAGCGCAAATGATAACAGTAGGTTTCATCCGGGATCCATGTCTATTATCGAGGAGAGGCCTGTAGAGACCGGGTCCAGTCCGGGGCTGCGGGTGAACACCTCGGAAGGCGTAGTGCTCCTGAGTTACTCGGGGCAGAAGACGGAAGGCCCTCAGCGCATTAGTGCCAAGATCAGCCAGATTCCCCCGGCCAGCGCTGTCGACATTGAGTTTCAACAGTCTGTATCCAAGTCTCAGATTAAACAAGAGCCTATCACGCCTTCCCAGCCAACGCCGAAAGGCTCCCAGACTTCGGCGGGTTACGGGACTGTGTCCACCCATTCTTCTTTGGTACTAGGAACGCAACCTTACAATACGTCGCCCGTCATCTCTTCCGTTAAACAGGAGCGCACCGCACTGGAGAAATCGGACTCGTCCCACCTCTCTGTCCAGACTCCCACGTCTCAGCCCGGTAAGGTCCTCCCGCAGACTGTGAACACTCCTCCTGTACTCGTCCACAACCAGATGGTTGTGAACAAAAAGCTGTCCGATCCAGCTGCTCTGAAAGTGGAGACCAAGACGCTGCAACCCTCCAACTTGAGTCCTGGAGTCAGTCCCCACCACCCTTCTCTCTCGGGGAAAATGCATTCGGAAGCGAACCACGTCAGCTCGGGCCCCAGCACCCCAACCGACCGGGCTATTTCCCACTTGGGGGTCACCAAGCAGGAGCCGCACTCGCCGCGTACCAGCGGGCACTCGCCGTCGCCGTTCCCGCGGACTTGTCACACCGGCAGTACCTCGTCTCCGGCTTTATCGAGCAGTACCCCGGTCATGCTGGCGCCGGGAATTCCCGTCCCTCAGTACATATCCAGCATGCACCCCGAGCAGTCAGTTATCATGCCCCCTCACAGCGTAACGCAGACTGTGTCCCTGGGCCACCTGTCCCAGGGCGAGGTGAGGATGAACACCCCTCCTCTCTCCAGCATCCCTTACGGCATCCGCCCAGAAGCGCTCCACTCCCCCAGAGCTGCTCTGCAATCCCAGATAGAGATCAAACCTCAGCGATCCAGCACACCCCAGCCGGCTCCGATACGGGACATAGTCATGCCCCCTCTGTCCTCGCAGCATGCCCCCGAGGAGGAGATGCACTACCACCACACCACGGTGTGCCGAGGGCCGGCCTCGGTTCAGTCCGACGTGCTGGTGATGCAGCCGGATTACCGCATGCACCCCACGAGCATCAGGCTGGACCAGTACAGCGTCCCCCGCGACGTCAGGATGATCATGCACCCGCACATGGCCGCCGTGGGCGAGCACCACTCGGAAACGCGACAATCCCGAACTCCTGAAGGGGCTGTGAAAACTCCCCCCGTCAGCAAAACCCCGCAGCCGGGAAAAGAGACGCCGAAATCCTCCGAAGGCAAGATGGCACACTCTCCTCACAGCGAGCCCCGGCTCCTCAGCGTCCCCTCCAGCAGCCAGCTGTCTGGGCTGCCGCTGTCGCAGCCGGTGGTGGTACCGCACGGGGTGCAGATCATGCACCCCGCGAGCAGCTCCTTCCACGATTACCGGTCCGTGTATGGCGACATGAGGAACTACCATACGGCGGCACAGCTCGGGCATCCTCAGTTCCCCGGCGCCTCCCCGATCGGGTTGCCTTCCCGGAGCATGACCCCATCTCAGGTGAGAAATAAAACCCTTTTCTTCTCCTTCTGCTCACATTCTGGAGCGCTTGGAGCTAATTACAGCCCCGGCGTGGCTCCACGTGGCTACGGGAGCCGAGTTTAGCTCTCTGTCGTTAGTCTCCACGCTCCACTGGAGTTCAGAGCACAAGAGGAGACGGTTTTGCTGGGGAAATGGGGTTTGGATGCTGCTTGGCGTTAGGGGAAGCTGAAAACCCCCATTTTCTCTACTACTGCAGGTTTCTAGCCGTAGAGGTGTCGGCGTTGAGGTGCCGCCTGGGGCAGACATCCTCAGACGGATGGCGTGGCTAGGGATGGGCTTGGGGCAGGATTCAGGGATGCGGTTCCAGCCCTGGGTGTGTGTGGGGTGGCTTGGGGGAGAGGGGAGTCTGGTCCCGGCACCGCCAGGGCAGTGCTGCTACTGTGGCGTGGAGACGCGGATTTCTCCGCTGGCAATCTGAAGGTGTCCTGGCAGCGTTACCGTTGAGTGAACGAGTTCTGATATCCCCGTGGCCTGAAATCCCTGCTTTTTTCCCCCCGCCGCCTGCTTCCCAGGGTCTACCGGAGGGCGAACACTCACACCCCAGCCAGCCAGTACGCAGCAAGACTCCACAGATCCCGCAGGATCCCAAGGGCCCGCCGGCAGCCGGGCCTGAGCAGAGTCACCACCCCACTGTAAATAGGCATGCGGCCCCGATAGACCCTCATGTCCACCTTCAGAGGGCACAAGCGGACGCGGGCCAGACCTCCTACCCTTCGCCCGTCGCCATTTCCATAAAACAGGAGCTTCCATCGCCGCACCAGCCTCAGGCGGTTCCCAAGCAATCCATGTTTATCCCCACGACGTCGGGGCCGCCCCTCAATCGCCCGGAGCCCCAGTCCACGCTCAAACAAGAGCCGTCGCCTCACCCCGTTTCGCAGAGACCTGTGGACATGGTTCAGCTTCTCACGGTGAGCGTGCTCCGTCGTCATCTCCAGGTCCTTGTCTGGGCAGAGGCGCTCGGCGTCCCACCGTGGCCCCCAAATCCGAC